CGAAAAGACAAATTCAGAGAGAATTCACGTCCCAGTGAGGCTCAGTGGTCATCTCCAGCCCAACCTTACTTTATAGTCTGGAAACGGAGACACTGAACACAGTGACGGATTACAGTACAGCCAGCTCAGCGTCTGTGGTGATAAAGCAGAAGTGACCAAGAGAGAATCTGCTTAGATGAACTTTTAAGTTTCCTTTGAATTACTGCAGTAATGCTCGCCTATTGCATTAAATTTGGAAAGCACGAAAAGTGCACAAAGGAAAATAAAAAGTCTGTAATCCCATTCCGAAGGGATGACCACCATGAACCCCTTTTAGATGGCTTGATGCATGGGATTTGGGTCTCCAGGAAAATATGGATTTGATGATAAGACTATGAAACCCTCCCAAATGTCTCGTTGCTGGGAATCGGGGGACGGCGTCGTTTTGGTGGCTCAGTCATTCGTTTCACTCACTTTATTCATTTAGCACATATCTAGTGAGCATTTATCACGTGCCAGGCACTGTGTTAGGCACTGGGTGTGCCAGTATGTACCAGTATGAAGGAGACGGTCATTGTCCCTGTCCTCGTGGGGATGACATTCCAGCCAGGAAAACATAATTAACGCTTAGTTACAATCATGAACGATGAGGACACCGTGAGATGGTACAACGGGTTGCCCGACACCAGGCTTGCTTTGTCTGGTTGAAGCTAGAGTCAACCTTGCTACTCAGAGTGGCCTCTGCAGAAAATGAGCTCCGGGGCCTCCTGGGAACTTGTCAGAAATGCAGACTCTCAGGCCCCACCCACTGAATCAGGATCTGCTTTTTCACAAGCTCCCAGGGGATTCGCAGGCCTATTAGGGCTTCAGAATCACTGTTCTAAAGGATGTGGGACTCCTCAGTCCAGGGGGGCATTGGGGCAGGTAAGGCCCACCAGGCCCGCGAGCCTGACACCCACCGTCCGCATAGGAGATACTTTGGAGCCAGCAGAGGAAGCCATTGCGGCTGGACCACAGCCGGAGGAGGCTGTGGGGTCAGCCGGGAGGCCTGGGTCTGCGGCCAGCCCTGGGTCTGGGAGCACTTCAGCCCCTTTTGGAGCCCCAGTTTCCTCACCTGCAGGGGCAGCTCTCCTCCCTACCCCTGAGGGCTGACATGAGCGTCGGACCAGTCACTGTGCCGAAAGCATTCACAGCGCTGAGGCCTCACCACTGCTTTTCATTTGATGAGGGAGGAAGGAGAGCTATGTTTGCAGGGCCTTCACTGCCCCGCCTCCCGTGGGCGGAACTCAAAGTGAATTATTCCTCAGCCACGAAAAGGAAGGAACTAATGCCTTTTGTAGCGACATGGATGGACCTAGAGATTGTCCTACTGAGTGGTGCAAGTCAGACAGAGAAAGACAAATGTATGATATCGCTTATATGTGGAATCTTACAAAATGGTACAAATGAACTTATTTGCAAAAGAGAAACAGAGTCACAGATGTAGAAGACAAACTTATGGTTACGGTGCCGGGGGAGATAAACTGGGAGACTGGGATTGACATATACACACTGCTATATATAAAACAGATAACTAATAAGGACCTACTGAAGAGCACAGGAAACTCTACCCAACACTATGTAATGACCTATATGGGAAAAGAATCTAAACAAGAGTGGATGTATGTATAACTGAGTGACTTTGCTGTACGGCAGAAACTAACACGACATTATAAATCGACTGTATTCCAATAAAATTTTTTAAAAAATCACGGTGCCCCTGTAACTAGTTTACCCAACTCATCACAAGCACAGGCAGTGATGGAAAAGACACTCTAGCTCCAACTTTGCATATGGCGGCGGTAGCATGGGGGTGGGGTGGTTATGAATTGTGGAACAGGTGTGGTTAGGGCCCCGCTGCGGCCAGGAACGCCTCCCCAGCCCTGTCTAACCTCCTGGCTTGAGCCCCCAGCTCCCTACCATGTTTTCTGATGCAGAACGAGGGGGACACGGAGGGTGACCTGGAGTGACCACCAACCTTTGCACTTTCTTTTCTTAACTGTGAGTGTTAGGGAGCAAGGACAGAACTTACAAAACAACTTAAGCCCAAACAAAACAGCCACAGGAGAAAAGTAAACAGAAAAATGATCATCCCTTCCAAAGTAAAGGCCTTGAATTTCATGAAGTCTTTCTTTTATTCCCATTTGTTACTCTTAAGAATCAGATTAAGTATCTGGTTTCCCAAGTGCTTGCCTACAACCAGGGCTCCTCCTCCGACACACCTTTGTAATTCTACCCACCTTGGCAGACAGGCAGGTGACCCAGAGAGCTTTGTTCCCCCATTTCACATTGTATTATGTAGCCTCAGGCACCAAGCTACCCAGTCAGCCCGATTTACAACCTGAAACCACTCGTCTTTTCTGTGTCTGTTCCTGACGTTTATGCAACACAGGTTCTCAGAGGTGTACCAGCACACTGCCTGCCCTCTATCATTTTATTTGTCCTCACAGCAGACATGGACTTCTTATATTTTTTGTGTTCAATTCCTGATACATGGAGAGGCAAATCCAGGCAAAGAGAGTTCAGGTGCGCCGTGTGAGATGACACACTGGACTTGGTGGCTGGGCTGGACTAGAAGTTCTAGTACTTACGTCAGAGATTCTCTCATCATCGTCATCATCTAATATTTAAGTAACAGAAAAAGCCTGAGAAGAAAAGCTCACTAGGACCTAATCCCACTTCCCAGAGTCAAGCACTGGGCACACTCTGGCTCTTTACTTCCAAACTCCCACAGCGCCGAGATACCCCTTTAAAACGTTACACAAGTAATACGTGCATCCATTTAATTCAGAAATGTACACAAGAACACTACAGATAAAGCAAAAGTCCCTGCTGACATCTTCCCATCTTGACTTTGTTCACTACCCCATAGGCACCTTGATGGATTTGGCAGATATCTTTCCATTTAGTATTGTTTTGTCATATACGTCTATATAACTGTGCTGTACCCATAGTCATTTTCGTTGACAGTTTTTTTCCACTGACATTTTGTTTTTGAGATCTATCCACACTTTTAGGACTGATTCATCTTCTGTGGCTGTATAGTATTCTATCACATGTATGTGCCACTAATTTATTCATTCCACTTTTTAAAAGTATTTTTTAATTGAAGTATAGTTGATTTACAATGTTAGTTTCTGCAGTACAGCAAAGTGACTCAGTTATACACACACATATACATTCTTTTCCATTATGGTTTATCCCAGGATATTGAATATAGTTCCCCGTGCTACACACTAGGACCTTGTTGTTCATCCAGTCTATATTCCATTCCACTTTTGATGACCACTTAAGTCCTTTCCACTTTCTCACCGTGGCAAACACTGCGCATTTCTCTAAGTGCCCGTGTGGAAATGTTTCTCGGGACTTACTCCTAGAAGAGGAATTGTTGGGTCACAAGAGGAATTGCTGTGCACTTTCAGTTTCAACAACAACGGCCAAATTGCCTTCCAAAGAGCTTTTTCCAACCCGGACACCCCGAATCAGTGCGCGAGGGTACGTGTCTCTCCATAAGCCGGCAAAAATTCCTGTTCTTGTCAGACTTCCCCAAGTATAATTTTCCAGAGTTAAATACGACTCTCAAATCTTTCCACAAATATGGCATGCACATGGGCCAAAAGTTTACTCACCTCATTAACTAATGAGGACATTTGTAAGATGAAAAAGCTGGTTCAAAGACCATTTGGGGAAATGGTTTTACAGAGTCCTTAACCTATATTAAAATAAGATTGCTAGGCTAGATATAAACATGGTTAATGTCCTACAGGGAAATAATTATAACCTTTGAAGTTACCTTTTCTTTGGGGCAAAGATTATTTGCATCTCTACCAGGCACAAATCTACAAGTTGGTACATAAGCTTATAGAGACTCAGCTTTTCATTAATAGTAAACAGCAACATCAAACAACAGAAACTTCTCCTAGAAAAGTAAGTAATCCTTGGGCTTTTAAACAACGCTTCAATACGAGGTTGAAAGTAGCGCCATCCTTTTGGTCTTATTTTCAGATTTTGGATAATTTCTCTTAATAGATTAAAAAAAATCTGTATCAATACAATGGATTAAAAAGTGGCAGTTCATTGTGTTTTACTCGGAATTTCTGTAATGATTAGTGACTTTTGGGCCGTTGTTATTTTTACTTTCTAGTTCCAGGTCTCTTTAACAAACAAATATTGCGGACAGGAAAAAGCTTCCTTCCCTTTAGTGACCAGAGTGCCTGGCACAACTGAAGAGCAGCCTCACGAAGTTAGGTCTCCTAGGCAACAGGGAAAAGGAGACCTGACTGCTCCTAGGATAGATCTATTGGATGCATAAAAACACCTTCACTGTGGTCGGAGAGGTTCTGCTCAGCCCAGCGGCAGTGGGAGAGGGGGTGTGTACCCAGGGAGGATACGATGGGGGGAGACCTCAGTGGGGCTTTGTGGGGGACGGCAGAACTCAGCTCTGCCCGCTTCCTCAGCCTCTACCCTCAGGTCCCTCCTGCGGACTAGGTGGTGAGTCCATCAGTTACCAGCATTTACTGACTGTCGCCAGGTTGGGGTGTCTCCAGGTTGTGGAAAACACCTTCTCTTCCCAGTTCACAAGGCAAACGGGAGGTAAAGATAAACTTGGATGAACTTTGAAGGTCTGATATGGGCAAGTCACTGGAGCAGTCTGAGTAAAACCTGGAGGCGGTGATGTATGTGCGTGTGCGTGTGCGCGTGTGTGTAGCAGTGAGACACACCTCGCGGTCTGGATCGAGTCACGTGACCGACAACCTGCCCTCAGGCTGGACCGAGTCACGTGACCGACAACCTGCCCTCGGTCCCCATCGTTTCTGCGCCCTAGCTGGGCTTTCGATACTTTCCAGGAGCGCAGAGCGCTTAGGGGCCTCGCCCTGGCTCTGCCTCCCCAGCCTGGGGCGATGTGAGGTCACCCGAGACCCTCTAGAACCAACTTCCAATACTTGAACTAACGGGATTCCTTAACTATCGCTCGAAATTACCTCCCAATTAGGAGCAGCCTGAGGGGCAGGCGGCCGTGAATCCCGGTTCTCCACGGGGGCAGCTTCCCCGGGTCCACTTCGAAATCTCTCCGGCTCACCAAGGGCCCCAGCTCACGCGGGGACGCTCTTTCCGAGGGGACCCTTTCCCACCGCCGGCCCGTCCCACTTCTTAGCAGGGGGTCCACTCTCATTTTGGGGGGACCCTGTGGCTGGCTGGCCCGGGCCTGCCGCGTCGTCTGTCCCACCGTGTCCCCATCTGTCCCCAGCCGCGTCCGCGCCGTGGCCGGGCGGTGGCGCGACTGGAATGCGCGGGGGACGCGGGGCGGGCGGCTTCGGCCTCCGGCCCGGCCCAGGGTAGATGGGCGGGCGGCGCGCGGACGAGAACCTGGCCGACAGCACCGGCGCCGGGTCCCCGGAGCGGGTGCGCCCCGCCCTCGCCCCCCTCCCGGCACACGTGCAGCTTCCACCCCCGCGGGTCGGGTGGGGCGCGCAGCCCCCCGACCCGACAGTCTCCGAGGATCGAGAAACGGAAAGAGAGAAGTCTCCCCGGGAGCCCGCCGAGCGCAGGCCAGCCCGCCCTCCCTGCCCAGTCTCGTCCGATCCCGGCCGGCGGCTCGGGGCCCGGAGGGGAGGGAGGGGGCGGGGCGGGGGCACAGAGGCGGGGCCGGCGCCCGGGTTTCCGCCCCTCCAGGCAGCCGGGGGTCCCCGCGGCCCCAGCAGCGCGGGCTCGGGAGGCGGCGCGGGGCGCTGAGGCCAGGCCCCCCCTCCTCCGCTTGGCGCGTCCTCTCACCCGGAGGCGGGGAAGGCGGACGCGACCGCGGCCTCGACGTCGGCGGCCGCGCCGCCCGCGAAGGGAAGCGCCTTATAAGCCGCCGCTCGGCCGGACCCGCGGCTCGTCGCCGCGCCATCCCGGAGAGCTCGCGGAGGCCGGGCCGACCCCAGACAGACCCCGACTCCGGACAGACTCCCGACCAGCGCCGGCTCCGGACAGATCCTGGATCTGTCCGACTCCGGACAGACCTCGGACGGACCCCGGCCCCGGACAGACACCCCGGCTCCAGACCGATCCCGGCTCCGGACGGACCCCCCGCGGACCCAGGCCCGGGCGGGCGCGCCCCCTGCCGGCCGGGGCATGCTCGGCCCGCGGCATGGCCTCGGCGGTGTTTGAGGGCACGTCGCTCGTGAACATGTTCGTGCGCGGCTGCTGGGTGAACGGCATCCGCCGGCTCATCGTCAGCCGGCGCGGCGACGAGGAGGAGTTCTTCGAGATCCGCACCGAGTGGTCGGACCGCAGCGTGCTCTACCTGCACCGCAGCCTGGCCGACCTGGGCCGCCTGTGGCAGCGCCTCCGCGACGCCTTCCCCGAGGACCGGCCCGAGCTGGCGCTCGCGCCGCTGCGCGAAGGTGGGCGCGGGCCCGGCCTGGGGCAGGGGGTCGGGGGGGCTCCTTTGAAGTGCAGGGAGGGGCGCAGGGGCGGTTATTAAGCGGGGATCGCGACATCCCGGACCCCGGCACGGGACAGGGACCCTCAGACCTCCGCCCGCCCCCGGGCGGTGAAGTGCAGTGGCTGGTGCGCAGGAGTCGGCGCACGGGGCCCGAGGCCGGCCAGACGGGAGTCCTGACCGTCCCCAAGGCGAGCCACCGGCCCGCGCCAGTGTCGGGCGGCCCCTGCGACTCCCGCCGCGCTGGGGTCGCGTCGTGTCTGGCAGCCCCCTCCGAGGCCTCCCCCGGCAGGGCCGCGCCTCTTGTCCCCGGTGACCGACAGCCCGAGTGCGCGGTGCCACGCGGCCTCCGTCGCCACCAGGGTGGGTCCGCATTCGAGTTTGATGAGCCCAGAGGCCTCCTCCCGCGCCTTGTGACTTTCCTGGCTCGCAGGGACTGGGTGGCTTCCCGTTTCCTCTCCTCGGCCCACGGGGCTGGCCTTTGGAGGCCGCGGAGAGGAAGCGAGAGGCTGAAGCTGAGGCAGGAGGACTGGGGTCCCCCCTGCCCCCTCCCACACACACGCGTGACCACCTGCAGCGCTGAGAATCTGGTGACACTTCCCAGCGCCTTCCTCTAAGCAGATCCCTGGGGCACTTTAGGGGGCATTTACTGAAGCTGCCCATCTGCCTGAGGTCTTGGGATAATCTCCACTCCGCCCCACGCCCCCCTCCCCGGGACAGCTCCCACCCCAGTGTGTGAATTATATGGGTAATTAGCTCATTCTCATGACACATTCTCGGGCAGACGCGTCACTTGGAAAGGCTCCCAAAGCCAGCACGTTTGCAGGCCCTGCTCCCCTGAGTCTCGCTTTCATGCTGCTCTGGAGGGAGTTCAGTACTATTTCAAGCATGGCATTAGTTTACCTTGATCTACTGTTTGTGTGTGTGTGTTGTTATTTATCAAATGGATGCCCAAATCCGGAAAGCTTAGATGAAGGAACGGCTGTTTATTCAGTGACTTACATCCTTTCTGGAACAAGGCAGGCCATAAACAAACAGGAGTCCCTGAGAGCTGGTGGAGGGCCTGCCCTCCCCTGCCCCCCCCTCCCCTCCCCCGCCCTCCCCTCCCCCCCCCCCCTACCCTCCCCCATACCCTCCCCCTGCCCTCCCTTCTGCCCTCCACCTGCCCTCCAGGTCTCACTCTGTCAGAGGACCCCACTCAGCTGTGACTCCAGGCTCCCCACTTGGCTCCGCCCCTGTAACATAGGACCTGACACTCACTTTTCTTGTGCGGGCTGGAGTGCACCCTCAGTGTCCAGCAGTAGTAAGCCCTCCACAAAGGTGGCTTTTGTTGTCACCCCCAGCGGCTTCTGGTGAGGGTCATAGAAGGTGGGGAGGAGGGCGGAGCTTCAGTCGCCTTGGGATCTGGTGAGGAAACCACCTTACCCGGAGCACAAGGGTTAGGGTGCGCCGTGCACATGCACGCCCTGGGCTCTGTCCCTCCGCGCAGGTCGTGCCTGGTTGGTTCTGGGTTTGCGAGGTGTCAGCGCACCATCCGCAAGGAGACAGGAAGAGGGTGACCACCAGGGCGAAAACAAGGCGCAGAAGGGGTATGATAGCTGCTTTCAAGTGTCTAAAGGGAGAAAAATCAGCAAGAAATGGGTATTAGGTTTAGTGGGGGACATGCGGGGCGGCAGTCAGGTGAGGACCAGTTGTGTGTGAAGGCCTTTCGAACAGCCCACGATGGACTGTGGGAATGTCTTCTCGGCTGGAGTCCTGACCAGAGGGCCTCCTGCAAGGCCAGCTCAGCACCCCTGGAGGAGAGGAGGTGGAGGCCCGGGGCCGCAGGACAGGCGACCTGAACCCTCTGTCTGGTTCCAGGTTCTCTGCCTGGAGGCAAGCTGGCCCCTCCCCCAGTACTACCTGAGTTTGTTGTACACCCAAGGGAAGGCCTTTTCCTTCCTTAGAAGGAAGGAAAGTCCAGGGAAGTTGTTTGCTAAGTAAAATACATCGCCATAATGCAAAAGAAGCGTTCACCTTATTTCCAGGTGGATTTACTATTTGCATAAACAGATCGTCTGGACATACAAACCGTACACACAAAAGGCATCCAGATGTGTGTGCTGTTTTAGAGATGCCAGGTTTTCTCAGTGCAATTCCCCATCAGATTCCCTCAGTTTAAATTTATTGCATGTTTCTGGGCTGGGTTACATTGGCCCGCTCATCTCTTTAAAGAGCTTTGCAAGTGTAGGTTTGAGAACTCGTGCTGGCAGCAGGCTGGTAGCTCTTGTAAATGCAGGACTGAACACCTCCAGAGGGTGGGAGCGCCTTGGGTCTGACTTGCATCTTTGATTCTGCGTGCAGTGAAGGGGATGCGGAGCCCTCTGTCGTGGTCCCTGGAGTATTGCCGTGGGAGAGTGTTTCTGTGCAGAGTACTTTTCCTTGATTCTGCACACGCACTGGTGCTAGCCTTGGCTGTCTGTCTGTGGAACGTGTATGTTTCCTGGTGACACGTGCGCAGAGATATTTAAACCCCTGCGTGGAGTGGCGGCACGGGGCTCACTCGCCCACCTCCCTGGTCTTCTGTTTGGGCGAGGCTGCTCTCAGGACTAGTCTTGCTTCTTCTATCCTCTTCCTTGGCCTCTTGGCTTCTCACCTTATGCTCTTCTGCGTCTGGATCTGATATACCCGTCCTTCCTTTCTTGTGCCCCTGCCTAGGGGAGGGAGGTAGCTGCTTTCTGTGCATAGCATCTCTGGGTGACCAAGGTGTCCCCTTCTGCTCTTTCCACACTCTGACACAGGTAGGGCCGAGTCTTTGACTTAAATACCCTTTACGTAATACTTAACATGGTTCAGGGCTCCTGACCAGATGTGGCAAGGTCTCTTGCCTGTTACATCTCTCGTCTGGGAAGGTTCACACTTTAAAAGACAAGCATGCAGAATGTCCCCAATGACTGTTTGGGGCTCTTGGATTATTTTGATCCTTTTTAAAAAATAACACCTGTTTCAGGCCTTATGAAGTCATCACTGTAGAAACAGATCCTATTTCCAAAGTAGGCAGGTGACCTTTGATTCCTGATTACTGTCAAATCAACACATTGGTTTTATATTCACTCAGCAAGTATCTACCAGATGCCTCCCCTGCACCATCATCTTCTAGGTGCTGGGGATGCAGCAGTGAACAAAACAGACAAACCCTGCCCTCATGACTCTATATTCGGGGTGGGGGAAATCCAATAATAAAGAAGATAAGTTTAAAAAAATGTTAGATGGTTCTGCACCTTCAGAAGAAAAGAAAAGGGAGGAAGGAGAGGAGCTATGACTTGCAGGGGTAGGGAGGGGTTCACTTTCAGATGGGCTGGTCCAGAAGGGCTCAGAGGAAGTGACCTGAGAGGAGAGACCGGGAGGAAGTGGGGAGGAAGCGATGTAGGTGCCTGGGGAAGAGCTTCCAGCCAGTGGCCAGAGCAAGTGCAAAGGCCTTGAGGCCGGCGTGTGCCCGGCGGCCCTGAGTCCTGAGGGGGCCGCTGTGGTTGGAGTGGAGAGAAGGGGGTGGAAGCAATGGGAGATCGAGGTAGGGAGTGGGCAGATCACGCTCAGCGTGGGGCTCTTGTCGGAGATGGAGAGCTCGGAACGGGAGCGACCTGATGTGACGGGCACTCTGGCTGCTGTGCTGAGCATGGCTGGAGAAGGACCAGGGCGAGCCGGGGAGACAGGGAAGGTGTGAGAAGTGGTCAAACACGGACGCGTCTGGGAGGGAGTGCAGGGTCTATGGAGAGACCAGATGTGGGTGTGGGGAGCCTTGGGTGATGCAGGAAGCCCGCAGGGGGAGCTGATGGAGGGCCCAGCTTTGAACACGGTATTTAGTGTTTTCTCCAAATAAGGCCCCTCCTTGAGATCCTGTGCGTGGTGCTGGGGTAACGTCTGTTCACCCCTGTCACCGGGGACATGGATCTGCCTGCGTCTTCATAGACCTTCTGTTAGATGTGAGATGGAGGGGCAGAAGCGAAGGCGTCTGGCACCGACCAGAGAGGCCTGGGCGCAGGTCCGCCAGCCAGGACACCCCGCCTCCCCACGGCCCTAGGGGACAGCGCTCTGCTCCCAGGCTCTGCTCTCACGTGGATGGGGAGAAGCTCTGCGCTTCCCCGAAACAAGTGGGGGTAGATCGCCGTCTGGTCTGGGGGTGAACTGCAGAGCCCCGAGTTTCCTTTCTTAGTGAAAGTGGCTAAAAAAGAGCAGAGGCCGCCCACAGGTCAGGGCAGCAGATCAGGGGGACAGAGGCCACCTCTGTCCGGCCTGACGGGCCCTGCAGTGGGCCGGGGTCCTGTCCTCCCCCTTCACAGCCCCGCCCCGCCCCCATGCATGGCTTCCCTGGAGGGGCTCCTGCCCCTTCTAATGGGGAGAGGGGCAGTTTTCACTTCTCTGGGGCATTTTGGGTGTTCTTTCTGATTCACAGACCTATTTTCGAATCTCTTCCATATATAGGGCTGCCGGGCTCTGCCGTCCCCCGGGTCTGGTGCCGGCACCATCCCTCCCGGGAGCCGGCTGTCTCCTCTCTTCCTAAGGTTTTATGTTTCTTTCCCAGACCCACACCCTGCTGTCGCTCAGGCTTTGTTCCGAGTTCCCTGTCCGGACTCTCCTTCCTCTGTGAGGGACGGTGTGCCCTGCGGTCCCATGGTCTCATCCGTCAGAGCTCCGGCCGTGCCGTGGGCCCAGGTGGCTCGGGCTAACTCCCAGTCAGAGAAGGAGCGGCCAGAAACTCACAGAGCTTGTTTGCTCTGGAGCTTCTAGGCCTCGCTTACTTCCCACCAGATTTCCAAGGGGAAACTTGGTTCTGCATCTCAGCACCGGGACCGGCTGGTAGCATCTGGGTGCCCTCAGGCTGGCCCCCAGGGACACCGCTCTCCTTTTCTCTTTTTTAACCAGGCTGGGCCTGGTGTGCCTCCACTGTGTGTTTTTATAAACACTTTTCCAAACGGCAGGAGG